GCTGAAATTACACGTTCACGTATTGAAACGTTGACGGTGTTCTTGAATTATTGAGTCCTTAATGCTCCCTGACCGATGTCGACTACGACTCGCCGGCGTGCTTCCCATCTTCTGTCTTGTTATCAGAATAGAAAAATATTACAAAAGAGTCGGTACTGAATCAGGCTTCAAACGCTAACGTTTTGGCTCAGACCCAATAGTTTGAAGAGTCTCTGGTCTTTTGACAAACTTTCATGTTTGAAATGTCTCGGTCATAAATCCCTTCCCTCTTTAATTTGATCGCCCATACAAATCACCTTTTTAGGTCCTTTGGAAATGTGAAAAAATTATTTGTCCGGAACTGCTATTATTCACACAATTCAGAGCTGCGCATTGCAACATCGTTTCTACTTGACACTGAATATGAGTATGCCTGTTGTACGGGAATCGTCTCAAATGACGTCACATCCTCCTTGTATGAAAGGGAGATAACTTGAGGGGGGGGTAGGTTCTTTCCATTTGATCTCGGAATTCAACGCCGTATTTATTATTTATTATTAAATGTTTGTGCAAATTCATTAAATGCAAAGACAAAAATAGTTAGGATAGATTATATATACAAACTATTACATATCTTTCTATTTACAATAAAATTTTGCAGGTTAGGGTTTTTGTCCCCTTTAAGGCCAACCTGAAATATAATACATGTACTGGTTCACTTAAAAAAAATCTCACATAGGGTTTACTTCAAACGAGCCTTTACTTTAATACAGAATACGATTTCAGACTAACAGCCTTTTAAAAATCGCTTACACGACATAAGAAAATGTTTATTTAATCCATGCTTCTTCTCAGCAACTAAACATTACATTAAAATGGTCACTTGAAAGGTTTTGTAAAAAAAAAATTGCAGACTGAGTGAAAGTGTTTAAGGAAAATTATGCTGGATACCTCAACCAATCACACTGTTTAACTCCTATGGAATTTGATCCGCAATCACTATGCACACCAATTTGTGTTGTTAATTATCAGTGATGCTGCAGCCATAATCTCGGCCTCCGTACCGATACAGTATTTGAATCCATATTACTGCCATGTCGATACTTAAGGACATTGTTGTTGAGGTAGTTGCTAAGCTTTTCATTAACCACTGCTGAGCGCATGTGCATGAAAGTACTATTACAGCAAATGTTGTTGCTCTCTTCATTACATGAAACTGCAAAGCTTTTAGCTTGAAACATACAATTTCCATTACCTCGACTATTTGTAGTTTTGTTGGGGGCTGATGATACCTCATACAATTACTTTGATTGCTTCATAAAGGTGATTTTGCATGTTCCTGAAAGTGTCATTCGATTGTTTTTCTGTAGCAAGGTTGACGAAGGATTTTTTCCCTGATATTACGAATACTTTTGTTTTCCTTGTGTACATGGGGCCTCTTTGGAAGTCTTGCTGATAATGTTTTCAATTGTTTAATCGTTTTTTTAAGTCTATCACTTATTGTTGGAGGAACTGAATTCTGATGTTTTTGTCTTGTATTTGTAGTAGTTCTGTCAGCATTTTCTTGGAATCTGTGGTATCTTTGGTGGAATACTTGGTGGTTTTGGCTTTTGCAGTCTTACCCTGCCTTGTTTAAGAATTTATTTTACTTACTTGTAGTGCCAGTATGCAGCAAAATCTCCTGATTGTATTGGTATTCCTCATAAGAACAAAAACTCTCTTTTGAAAGGTTCTAAGTGATTTATTTATTTTATTGAAATTTCGCTTCTGGAGGATCTGTGCATTTGAAATGTTTTCTGTTACACTTTAATTAAGAAACTCCTCTTGTTTGTTACTGTTTGCCAACATATCTTGAGTTAACACTTTGGCTATGTACGGAAATGATACTTGGAATTATCTGTGATAATTACTATGTTCTCAACATATGACATTCTAGATGGTTTTTCAATACACGTGTTATGGCTTTATACACCATATGCCGTTAATATATGCCATACATAATCCCAAAAAGTGTGATCTTGGTAGATGGTTGTACACGTGAGCTCATTAGTCTTTGAATAATATGATTCAGTCACTTTGATACAGGCAAAGATTGGGATAAGGGTGTATATTTGCTCATTATATATATTAATGTATGAATCATCCATGACTGTGAGTCAAGAAGTAATAAGGATACTCAAAGTTATTTATACCAAAATTTGATGCCACTAGATGCTCTTATAAATGGGATTAAAGGACAATTTCCGTAAAAGAACACTTGAAATTACCCGTGATAAGTAATATGTACCTGTTATTACCTGTGATAAGTAGTATGTACCTGGGACTACCTGTGATAATTACTATGTACCTGTGATTACCTGTGATAAATACCATGTACTCAAGATAGGACATTTCTGGTGGGTTTACAGTGCTAGTTTTAGGGCTGTGTTTGCATTTCAATAGGACACCACCCATCCTAGATCCCTCGACCACTCAAACTATCAGAGCAATAGCATTCACCTGTAATCATCACACCTGTATCAATTTCCTTTAATACACATACAACAAGGATCACCTAGAATACATGAGAAAATTGGTTGCAAACTTTTTAGCGTTTCTGCCTAATTTCAATAAAATGATTTAAATTTACACATGATAATAAAAACTGTCAAACTGGGACAATCATATCTCTTACAAGTGAGAACTCAAAATAGCTATATTTTCTTATTTCTATATTATAATTGTATATAAAATCCAAAAAATGAAACAAAAACATATAACCCCGAAATGAAGTAAGAACATTAATATACATTTTGTCAATATGGCAGGTGATGAAATAAACATTTATTTTAAAATAGTTGGTTTTAAAAACGATATCTTCAAGACCGAGCTAACAGTGGTCACAGTAAATGAGGAGGGGTACGGAAAGATGAATGGAAGCAGGTAAGGTAAATTTTACGAGCAAATGCAACATTGACAGCAGCGGCAAACTCGACTTGAGCACATTAATGCTTAATAGTACCAGTAATAGTAACATCAGTAGTTGTAATAGTATTTGAGGTTGTGGTAATGACATGTGTATATATGATCAAGATAACAATATCCAATATTATTACATTTTAATATCATCAAATATCTCTATAGCATCAAATAGTACCTAATTAGTATTTGAGTTGTTACTCTAAGTTTGATTAAGAAAATATTTAGAAGTTGATATTAATGTACAATGTCAAAATAAATAGTCAAATTGATTGACAGATACATAAAGAGGATATGTTCGTCTTCAGGATTAATCGTGTTGTTTTGTTGTTCAATAAATGTGTAAATACAAACGGTTTTCAATGTTCTTAGTGGCAATACATTATTTTTTAGAACAAAATGTTAAGGAACTAGTTTTGAATTCTTTGAATAAACACATTTGTAAACGCACCCATCATTTAATATCAACGCAGTCAAGCGGATAAGAATTGATAATATTGAATGTGTTTCTTCCGACAAACGACCCAACCTAAACAGATGTTCACGGTAACAAAATATTTCGGTGAGAAGTCTTATTTGAGAGCTTCATGTTTATTACATAGGTGCTATATATAAATGATCTACGAGAAACATCTTCACTGATAGTTCCACTCAATCAATTATATGTTTACAGAGACGTCAAGGAAATAATTAAGTTTGAGAATAGTACTGTAGAGAGCGATGAGCACCAAATTGTAACGTTATTGGAGTGTACGTTTTTCTTATGCTGCTTGTGTTGCTTTGATTAGGGAATGGCGGTACTAATTCAGTTCCCATATTAAACCTATGCAAACACCATCATATTAAAATTTCAGTAACTTAAATTTTTTAATATGTATCAGTATAGATGAAACCTGGAAGTCAGCTTCTGTGCACATGAAAGGATATTAGCCGCGGCATTTTCTGGACATGCATATGTTTAAAACATGTGCTTCGAATTCCGCTCCAAAGAGTCAGATGCTATTTTAGTAACGAGTTTTCAAAATTCAAGACTATTAAAGGACTGAAATTCCATCAATAAAACAATGTCTCTATTTTTAATCACTTTCAACTAGGATAAGGTCTCAAAAGATTCTTTTTTTTTCTCCCTGAAACACAACTTACATTATTAACCAACCCTGGTCCACCAAACCCGTATATATTCTATTTAATATTCACCCATTTCTAGGCTGGTTCCCATTTTTCAATACAATTAGTACCGTGTGTCCTTAAGAACTGCACAGAATATCAAACTACTTCAACATAGAACATGAGGTCATATCGGATGATTAGACAATAGCATTTGTTCTGCTGGTGCTGTTTCTTGCTTTCGATCTTCAACCACTTTAAACCATTAAAACGCGCGCGCGGTTGTGTGTGTATGTGTGGTTTTGATTTGATTTTTAACGTAGCTCTAACAATTTTTCAGTCATATCACTATGATGTCGGCAGTATGGCAGTTTATAGTGATGTCTAGCACTGGGGCATCATGCCTCAGACATGTAGCATGATGTCCCACCCAATCAATGGTATATAACTAATGTGTTTTTTATGTTAATATTGTTGTGTCAAAACAGCAACTTTTTCAAAATCTCACTGAATGTCTATTTTCATTGAAGAACAAAAAATCATCCTATAATTTCTTTTAATTTTCCTCATGGACAGAACGTGCTTTATTAAAGAAAACGTTTGAAATGGAACAAACATTGTGATCTTTTTCATGTGGATGTTTATTTCAAACATAGACCTGGATGCGAGTGATGTAGGAAAAGTTAAATGAAATTTGAGTTATTAATTTTACTGCCCCTTGAGCCGTAGCTATGCCTGTGTTAACAACCCTGTCATGTAAAATTAAGGAATGTTATATATATATATATATATATATATAGACACAGGGAGAGAGAGAGAGAGAGAGAGAGAGAGAGAGAGAGAGAGAGAGAGAGAGAGAGAGAGAGACGTTTATTCTCTTGAGAGTGTCAAAGCTAAGGAGCTTGAGGTGATCTTTATTTCATATTGCTCTCGTAAACTTATGAATTATTAGTCAAGTCTGCGGTGGCCTTAGTGGTAAAAGCATCCGCTTAGAATGTGGGAGGTCGCGGGTTCGATCCCTGGCCGAGTCATACTAAAGCCTTTTAAAAATGGTACTAGCGGCTGCCTCGCTAGGCGCTCAGCATTAAAAGGTTAAGGTATCGACTGGACGGCCTGGTGTCACGATAATGTGACTGGGTAGGACATAATACTACATGTCTGTGGATTGATGCCGCGTTTTCTCACAACACTTTAAACTGCCACGCTGCAGATATCAAACGATATAACTGATTTTATTTATTAAACATTTGTTAAAATTAAAATCACACACACACACGCACGCACATACATACACACACGGCTATTTGAAATGGTAAAGCGATGCCTTTCTTAATTACAATTGTTTTTTTTCTTGGAGATGAGGTCCTTTCATTCATGAGAGATATTAGCTAACAGTGCCTTTTGTAAACCACTTGACTAATATTACAACACCATAACGGTCACCTGTAATTAAAGGTTTAAAGGTATTTTTCATTAAGTTGTAACAACTTTTATAGTCAATCACTTTTGCGCATGCTAAGCACAGGAATGTAACTACTATCGAGCTATATTATCTATGCATGGAAGTAAATTATTGCCTATTAAAGGGCGCAATTTACATCCAATTACTGAAGAACTCTTCAATTTGTCAGAAATTCCAGATACAAATATGCAGTCACCATCGCCCTATAACATAAAAGTTGCTGAGTTATATGAATAAATCTCTAATTCCAATATCATTGTTTTATCGTCTACTCTGGATATAAGCAAAGCAAAGAACAAGGACTTTTATAGTCCGAGTCTATAAACCCGTTTTTTTGTACACCCCTACCGCTCTCAATAACGAAAACGTTTATTACGATAAAAAGTGCACAGAACTAAGTCAATGATTTATAATTTTTAACCTAAGTCTAGAATGGCACTAATATTGGCATCCTCTTGCACATTTCATGCTAAATGGACTTTCCATACTAACACGGCGCCATATTTCGTACACTATGGAGTAGTTTATTTCCATCAGATTTTATAATGACGTAATTCGGTAACTGCCGGATAATTCCGTAAATTACAATAGCGTTGAGTTTGGTGTTATATTTCTTTGCACACATGATTACATTAATAAAACCACCTGTTAAATCCATGTGAAAGGCAAATTTGTTGTAATTCTTTTCCTTTGCTCTATTCAACATTGTAAATATCGTAAGCAGTCGACACATGAATGTACATCTTTAGTTCCCCATACACCCCTTTGGTGAAAATGGACTTGTCCAGGAACGAGAAATGGGTCTCAAGCATATCTGGCCATAGTACACAATTAATTTTACTATACGGTCTCTACATTTGTTCCTCAGTACTGAACTTTCCACTGTGTGACAATCAATACAAATCATATGTTAATCTAAAATACCTTCAAAGATGACTTAACGGTTTAGTTCTTGTCAAGGGTTGACCTGCATTTTTTTGAGAGGCTGAATTGTAAACAAAACACCAGGCAACGGAACACAGATTTCACTTCCGGATCATCACCATGACCTTATTACTCAATGTGCACTGTCGCCGAAATACACACAGACAACCACACCATAAGATCACATTTTAAAGAATAATCAATTGCCTTTAAATCCTTACCAAGAATGCCAAAATCTAACTCTAGTATCACCACCAAATTTAGACCGGAAAAAGTGATCTAAAAATAGACTGGGACTACATTCGTGGGTACTGAACCGGATTTTGTTAATTGTGTACTGATTCCATCTGTCTATTCATAGATCCGAACATCCGGGTAATTAACAAAAAGAGTGCTCTCTCTTGCATAGATACGCCTGCTTCCGCCTCCCTGTAGGTGAAACATTAACCTCTCGGCCATTATTCGAGGGCAGTTAGTTAGACTAACGGGCATGCTATCAACATTGTTAAATTAAAAAATGTCTGAAACTTGGAAAATAAATAAGTGATGATGTGTAAGTTCCAAATGATTTCTTGTGCTAAATTTATGATATAAATAGAGGAACTCTTTGATATTAAAATGAGAATCTGCTACACACTACCTACCTCTTTACTATATCCCGGAAAATAAATTGTCAGAAAACTGGAAAGGACTTTTGTTTCTTAGACTTTATTATTATGGTCAATTTTTTTATCTAATGTTCAATACTGTTGCTTCATAGACTTTAATGTTAAGGACAAAGAATTATATTAATATAAGAATCTCCTGAAATGAACTTATAAGTTTCTATGTTCATATCCTTTCATGCAGTCTCGGTCAGAAACAGCAAGAGTTACACAATGATGATGTAGTTCATCATTTACTGGCTGTGAAGCCATAACATCTGCACGTAGAAGCATGTAAACACTATATGGTGGCTTATAGCTCATTACTGTGTGAATCCATCCAAAATGACAGTAGTTACAAGCCTTAAGACTTTTCTTAGCTTTCATAGTCACATGTGTAAAAAATGCCTAGAGACAGGAAAACATTTTATTTTCAATTTAAAAGATGTTATTGACAGTTATATGGATTAGGTACATAGACACAATCAGATGTGATCAAGGAATTAGAAGAAAGGAAGTAGGTAATAAAGCAACAAAAGAACATTCAGTTAAAAAAAGCAGTTTGCATTTTAGTTTTGAAAACGATTGTCCATTTTTAAATTAAACAGTTTTAAAACTAAATTTACGTTTCGTATGTAATATATTTATAGGTTACTGCATTTGAATGGAAAAATATGAACGAGTTTTTCGGATGGCTATACTTCACGACTTTGGGAGTGCAGTATATCCATCGGAAAAAAACGAGTTCATATTTTTCCATTCAAATGCAGTAACCTTTTTATTATATGCTCATTCTTGTTTCATTACCAAATATTTAATAATAAAATTCACAACCAATCATATTTATTAACAAAGTTTATTATTTTATTATTAAAATGATAAAGTTCATAATCGTAGATTGCTTCAATTCACAAATAATAGCATTCATGCGCATATAGCTCCTCCCACCGACTGTTAAACTTCATAGCGTACTGCGCGCTCACGTGCATCAAGCATGTGAATTGCATTATGAAGGTGTTAAGTACATTTTTTGCCATTTTTATTAACAGCTAAAGAAGACAGTTTATGGGTATAACTTAAGTTTAATTGTGATGCACCTGTATAGCGTCTGTATCTAGCTAAATCTAAAACATTTGTATCAAAAAAGTAAAAGCGGAATGTACCAAAATAGTTTATATGTGTCAGTCTATGAAACATTTGCTGGTATGTGGCCGTCCTTAAAATATCTGCTTTAGTTCATTCATAAAGGTGTGTGTGTGTGTGCGTGTGCGTGTGCGTGTGCGCGTTTGTGTGTGTGATAATATAACACAAATGTATAGCAGTATGTTGTTCGCTAAATAAAAATGGTTGCAATCTGTGAAAATATCATATATCATTATGACTCTATATTTTTATTTATATTTAATGTTAAAACAAATTACTTCGCTATACAAAATGTATTTTTTCCCCTCTCATACAACGTAACAACATTTACCTGGAGAGGCGATTAGACAGTAATACAGATCACCGTACTGCCTACTGGAGTGGTGACAATTTACATGGTCGTTTTCTCAAACAGCCGTTGGAATATTGCAAGGACAATCATCGGTGTCTATAAAGTTTAATTTAACCTTATATCGGGTTTTTGCTGAATTATCAAGCTGATGAAAATAATTCTACACCATTTACACAACTGGTATTGATACTTGACACAGCGTGCAAAATGTTCAACTGGCACTGCGTGTAATATTTTCAATGGATGCTAGGCGTTGATAGGAGAGGCTTCACCTACGCAAAAACCCGGATTTGTATCTAAGGCTGTTGTACGTCACGCCGGATCCATGAACTATATTGAAAACTTCCGTTAAGCATGAAACTCGCAGGCGATGACGGTGTTATGGCCATTCTACTCACAGTCAAGTTAGAAACTATAAATCAATGAATGAATTAACTAAGTTCTTTACACTTTTATCAAATTAAAGGTTTTCGTTATTGAAATCGTAGAGGGGTACAAACAAACGGGTTAATGGACTCGGCCTATATACGAATGCATTATTGCTGTCGTCTTATTTAATTACTGAATCATTTCTATCATGAGCAAAGTGAGTCATTGAACAAGGGAAACATTGAACCGTCAGCAACAGTCTATATATATATATATATATATATATATATATATATATATATATATATATATATATATATATATATATATATATATATATATATATATATATATATATATATATATATATAACAGCAGAAGTTTTAGTAGTGGCAAAAGCAATAGTAATACTTAATTAGTAATAGTCATAGCTACAGTAGTAGTAGTAGTAGTAGTAGTAGTAGTAGTAGTAAAAGTTGTAGTGGTACTTGCAGTAGTAGTTGCAGTGGTAGTAGAAGTATGGTGGAAATAAAAGCACTGTCTTAGCGGTAATATTTCAAAAACATGCTGAATATTCCGTCTCTTCAGGCGTTCTTGTACACCATGAAGATGAAAGTGTCCAAGAGCTGTTGTGGGCAGGAAAATGATAATGAGTCAATTATTATGAGGATCATGATGTTTATGACAGTAATTTATCTTACATCTCTGGAAAGGTCTAAGAAGTGAAAAATCTGAATAGAACTGCCACCCTATTTTAGAAAGAGACCATTGCGCAAACCACATTAGTCGCATCCCACTGAAACAAAAAGAGAGCGGTTACCAGTAGTAGGAGATGAGTTTGTTACAAAATATAACCCCAATAAATATAAAAGCAAACGAAACGATAACTTCAATTGAGATCGAATGTCATAATGTATTCCTTGTAATGGCATATATAAGCATTTATATATGTTCTTTGTGCGAAACAGAATCATTCTACGCTCGTATTATATACACGATAGTTCTAGAATAAAAACATCCACACATGTTTAGGAGCATTTTAGGAACATTTTGTCAGAACAAAAATGTACAATTAGTGTATGTATGTATGTATGTATGTATGTATGTATGTATGTATGTATGTATGTATGTATGTAT